TGGACATTTATGGTTTGATTTCTTTGTATGTATGGATCACTTGTGTTGTTACCGACATCTGATGAAAATTTCATGTCATTAGCACCTCTAGTAATATATTTACTGAGAAAAATGATGACGTGTTCAATATTTATTTTACCCGCTGTAAAGTGGAACTGCAATACTTTGGTCTGAATTCCTCTTTTTTGTAAATCCACAAGCCCCTCTTTCACCCCTTCTCTGAGGTGTRTCTCAGATCAACTTGTTTTGAGGCTGCCTCTTTAAATCTAAATGAGGCACTTCAACGGTCCACTCCATTTTGGTAGACTACTTTGATAGAGGTTTAMGGCTATATAGCGACGTAGAAACATTTTACTAATGAATCAAAAGATGTCAACAACAGAAGGTCTATCCAGCCTTACATGTTGGAGCCAGAGGAGAATGAAGATGACTAAACTGTAGCTGGTGASTCCAGACCTTCCTTAGAGGTTCTGTAGCAAATAATTTGATGTAATAGTTCAGAAAATGTCCTAGAAAATAGAGAAAACTGAACTAGTTGAAACATCTGACAAACTGAATATAAATATTACCACTCAGCACCAGGAGAAACTAAATTCACCTTTACTGCACTCCTAGAGACTCCATAAACATAACAAAACGTATTTAACAACTAAAAAGGTGGATTTTGCTTGATTATGACCTTTAAATAAAGTTCTTATTTGTTTTCTCAGTCTTGCAACAAAACTACAGATGCAGAAGCTCATACTGAAAGTCTTCATGATGAAGATGATTTCCAGCATGTATTACGTGGTTTATTTAATAAGTCAGCATGCGAGYCACTTCCTGTGTCAAATGTAATGAAGAGCAAGTACGACCCTTTCCCTGACACAGTCATTGCTCATAAAATAATAAGCAAATAGACAATTTGACCCCAGTTAGTCCCAATGAGGATTCACTGAAGACAAATTGAAGTGAGCAGAACCCRTTTCGAAATTAAACCAACAACTGGAGGCAAAATTATTCACAGTTCACARGTTCATGATCCCAAGCCAGAAACAGTGAAAAGTAAATGCCTCTTATGGGGTCCTGAATTGCCCCTTAATATCCCACACATCAAAATGACCCTTTCACACAGAGCACTCACCAGTAACTTCTGACGGAGCCTTTGCTGGTTCACAGTCTCTCGGTTGAGTTCAGCTCTGGGATTATCCTTCAGAGGGAGAAAGTTGTCCACACAGTGGAAGGGCAAAACTTCATTTCCCAGCTGTAGGCAAGAAAAGTAAGTTAAGCTTATTGGTTAAATCTGTTTAATCTAAAATGAGTGCTTCTTTGAAATAAAAGACCTTTTTAAAAAACAGTTATTTTACTTGTGATAACAAAATACCAGAATCATCCAATAAGGAATGTGGTTGTGATTGCACAAATTAACATATCTTTATTATTATATCATTTCATTTTAAAGTGTAACACAGATTTGTTTGCCAACATTCCCAAAAGCCTGTAAACAACCGGAAAAGTAAGTCCGTCGCTGAACAATAACACTTAAGCACTCTTTCAACCAGATACTTACAAACCCACAAATGCATAAGACTCCAGCAAGCTAAAACAACRTCCTCTCTCCATGTTCAGCCACTTAGCCAGCAACATTTAGACGTTATATTTAGACGTCCTATTTTGCAAATGCTGCCTTTTTGAAATTTGGTATGCTTGTTTGTCTTTGTGTCTATGGTGTATAATGATGTGATTGTGATGCTGTAATTCTGAGTGTTTTATGTGCTGCAGAACAGGAACCTGCTGTAAAACAGCAATTATGCTGAGTCAGGCTTCATTTTTAGTAATCTTTTCTTGTTAAATAAATAAATCAAATCAACGTTGATAGCACTACCTAAACTGCTTGTTTTTGCCAAGCTAGTGGAGCTGGCTGGAAATAATAATGCCCGCTATTAAATTATTCATGGGTGCAGCCAGGTGGAACCAGATGCTGCTTTTGTGTCATAGAGGCAGAGCGGTAACTTGACTAAAGCATAAAAGGCCATCACTGCGTGGAAGGGGGGACTTCATCGAACAAGGCTGGATGCTGCTGGGCTGCAGGAGAAAACACGGGAYGTCAGTCCGCTCGCCTGGCTGTTTCCACGGGATATTTTATGTGCGGGTGTTCAGACAGAGGACAGCGATTCAGCTGGTTGGTCCATGGAGGAATGGATCCTGAGGTGTTATAGCTCCCGTGTCGCTGATGCTCTGTACCCTGTTTGTACCCAACACTGACAACTGGAGCCACGGCCAGAAGATGACCTTTTTTCCCCTTTTTAATCCGTGCCATGTTGTAATGCTGAATACTAATGCTATGTTGCTTTGTGCCCGCCACTCATGGGAACAAGCTGGGCTATTTTTAGCTGCTTGTCCCCAGCTGCACATCTCCAACCCGGGGCCAATAGGCAATTAGTCTTAGTTGTTTCTCACGACAGTAGGCAGTGCTAGAACCTCCCTAACCCAAGAAGACATCTGGACACAGGCAGTCTTGGTCCTGTACCAACCCCCGCCTCTGGACAAAACTGAAGCAATACCTCCACCTGCTTTAAGTTTCATTGGCGCTCCCAAGTTCTGGTTCTGTTGCTGTCCGTAAACTGAAGTGTTGTGTGTTCTTACGCAATTCACAACTTTTTTTTAAAACAAATTTGTATTTTCTGTTCTAAGAATAAAATAAAGCAGTGTTGATAATGTTGTTTAAATTGGTTAGTTTTGGTTAAAGAAACTGAAAAAAATTGTTTTAATATATTGTAATACATAAGCAAGAAACTCCTGAAATGTTTTTGTTAAAGCAGTATGTTTAAAAAAAATCTGTTGAAAGTGTTTAGTACATCAAACATTAGTAAAAAATCAGTATGTATAAAAACATTTCATACATATCAATTTTCAGAAATTTTTCATCTTTTTTTATGAAAAAGTAAAATGTTTCAAATTCAGCAAAACTGAAACTTAAATGTTTTGCACAAACTCATGTTGCATTATTGTCTTAATCTGTCAAAAATTATTGTTTTTACATATTTCAATAACAAAGTATAATTAGTCTGTTTAGAAATCTGTAAATTATGACAGTATATATGATTTATTTGCTAATACATTCTTCTTTATTACAAGCCCTTCTTATCCATTGATGAAGAAAATGAGACACTGAACTGGACAGATGTGATCAAACTGACAGTATAATGTCCTGTGCCTTGCCTTCAGACCAACAAATATAAATGATTCCTAATAAAACAGGAATCACAGTGTTGTAGAACCAGCAGCTCAACCGTATTTTAGAGCAATCAGCTGTGAAATTTCACTTGATTAGAACAATTATACACACACATAAACACAAACATGTAACACTGAGGCCCATTAGCATCCCATTAATTATTCTCAGCATTAAAAGTGCTGTAGAAACACATTCACCCAGGACTGATTGGCACAGTGTGACTCCAGCCATGGCTGCCAATAATATGGTATCAAAATGTGAGCAATTAACCTCTGTGTGTTTGTGTTAAAGACATGAACATTGGTTATAGCGTCCAACAAACTGCTTCAAGTATGCAAATGGAAAATCTAATTCAGCAGATTAATTTCACTTTTGTCAATAAACTAGGCCGAATATATGACCTGAAGAAAGAGGGCACAGTGAGCAAAATCAACAAAATAAACAGAAAGGCAGAGACAGACACAGAGACTGAGATTAAACCCGTGGAGATAAGCTGTTTTATCAGAAAACAAATCCTGACAAATATTCATCATTGCCTGTGGATTTTGGCAAGATCCACATATTCATCCCTAACCCCCACCCTCAGGTGTGTTCATTTACCTATCAGAACAAATCCAAGCATGCCTCCAGCTTACTGAGCTAAATGCCTGAAAAGAGCTGTTGAAAGCTGAGAGGAATACAAATACTGGAAAAAACATGTTTTAATTAGTTTCAATTTCTTCATAATATTTTATGCTGAACTTTCAATAAAAAATTTGACGTGTACTATTAATGTACTTTTAAACATTCTCATTACTCTGTTTAAATATATTCTAAATCTAAAGGAACATTTGCCCAAAAGTTATGGAATAACATTCATAAGACTGCCAGTACCAAAGGTTCCCAGGTTTATCCATCTGTTTATCTATCCTTCCATCCCTCCATCCATCCATCCATCCATCCATCCATTTATTTATCATCCATCCATCCATCCATCCATTTATTTATCATCCATTCATCCATCCGTCATCCATCCATCCATTTGCTCATCCATCCATCCGTCTGTATCCATCCATCCATTTACCCTTTCACCATCCATTTGTCATATATCCATACATTTGTCCAGCCATCTAATTTGTCTGTCTTTTATCCATCCATTTATCTGTCTATCTTTCATCCATTTATCTGTCTATCATTCATCCATTTGTCTGTCTATCCATCCATTTGTCAATCCATTTGTCCATCCATCCATCCATCTCTCCTTTTATCTGTCCAATCCATCCAWCCATCTATCCATCCAACCATTATTACTTTTTGAAAGTTTCATTGAAATATATCCAGTATTTTACATGATATTTTGCTAAAACAACAGACACAAACACGCCCATACTGGTAAAAGCATTACCACCAGCCGTTCAGCAGCAGGTGAAAAACATAGGAAAGAATGAAAAACTTTCAAACCAAAGAACACTTTCATGGTGGTACTTTTTACTTCAACTTATGTGAAATGTCCGAAGAAATGGGATCAGTAGATACAAAAGAATAAACATCTCAGCAACATTTTCTCAAAGGGACATGTATGATAGTTTAGCATTTGCTGAATTTGACAGACTGGAGAAAAAGTATTCTCTGATTTAAACTTCTGGATCCCAAAAATTAACATATGAACACAGAAATCTTCTGGAGCTGCAGTAACACTGACTAAACAAAGACTGCCTTCATCAAATTTTAAAATGAAGGTGCAGCTTTTCAAACATCGCCTAAAAACATCTCATTATCTCGCATAAAACAGAAAAAATTAAGTTTATTCAAACTCCCCTCTTCATGAGTGGTCTTTTTAACAGAAAATTGCAATTTATTCAGTTGAGGACAAGCTAAAACACAATTCACTTTGCTTTATAATTAAAAAAAGGCAAAATATTGCTTTTAAACAAAGCCAATTTATAAAGGGTACAAAATAAGCACTTAGTTGCTAAATTCCAGCCAGTGCAGATAATCTGGAATATGTTAACCTTTATGGGTGCTTCTTGGCAACAGAGACATGGTTAAAACTGAAAGGATGTTGAGACTAGGTCACCAGTTGTCATATCACAATAACAGCATAAAGCCACGTTCAGTTCATGTTGAATCACTACTGCTAATAAAGAGTGAATGCATATGAAGGAATGCATATTCCCCTTTTATAGTAGCATTTATAGCAGGTTTTGTTTTTGTCCAACCTCAACAGCATTATGCTCAGTCTCACGTGAGATCTTGCAAGATGTGTTATTCAATTCTACACACAATTAGGGCCTGATCTAACTGTGTGCACCGAGGATTGCGTCTGTTTAATGGGCAAAATAGGCGCAATGGATTCAGTGTGTTTGCCTTTATGAATGTACAGAAAAATATGATTATCAGAACATGCAAAATACTGGGAGGAGGATATACAGATTTGTCCTGATGCATCTCAGTGGCACAGGGGTGCCACCGAGCCATTGGTTCAGATATGTTGACGACACCTGGGTTAAAATTAAAGCCCAGGAAGTCCAACAT